AAAATGACGTGAACTCGCAAAGGTTTTAAGTCTTTTTCATTTTACAAAGATAACAAAGAGCAACTTTATTGATAGGGCACCTGATGTTGTTAATTCATACAAGTTGTGGCATACATCAAGTTTACGGTGTTCTCTCTGACAACAAAACTGGTACCCAAAACTCCCGACTTGAGCACTTTCCCTGGACATTGGTATTAAATTACATAGCTTTTCATGGAAAAACAGCTTGCAGTGCTCTCTGTGACAACACAATTGAGGGATTACAGAAAACGTACAGTGTTTTGAGACTGTAGAGCCCACTGAAGGCATTGGATTTTAAGGTGCCGATGCTTAAACTTTTCATTCTCCTGGCAAATGAAAGGAAGTACAGAAATGATATATTTAAAATTCGAAAGAAAGAATCATTTTATAAATTGATCAAATACTTAATTAACATTCAATCAAGTAATATAGCCGCTGGTACCTATGCCACCAATAGAAATTTGGTAAACATTGACCTCTGTCTACAAATAATGTTCATTCGATGTTGAGTTCACTGAAAAACACTGGTGCCCGATCAATGTGCTGCACCAACATTGTTTATTGTTTATTGGGAAATGATACTGCTGACGCTTTTTTACGTGAATTTTGCAAAGTCACTTTCAGGTGCTTTTGAGGGCTGTAACTGATAACATTTATAATGATTCGCTTTAAAAGCCATCAAAACAAAGCTTTTCCCGTGTCTTGCATGAAAATTCCCACACAGACCACGAGGTACCCTTTGCCCCAAGTCTGCAAAGCAAGAGGTCCAGAATGATAAAGTTCGGCTTGAACTGGTGATAAAGTAAGGACATGATGTAATGATGTCCATTTTCCAGTAAATTACAGCTACTGACTGACCACTTAGCGACCTTTGCCCCCTGTTCTGGCAGCAAAACATATTTTCTATTACCTCCCTGCTTCAGGTTTGATTTTTTTTTTTTTATACCAGAGATATACATGTATGTCGGTTCCTAAGCCGCCAACCTCTTCCATAGTACATTGACCAAATGGGGAATACGAGGATTCATCCAACTAGTTTGAAGAAACAGCACAGCCCCGACCAGCCGGAGTTTTGAGGCTTAATCAATGGAGAAAAATGTTGCTGGCAAGGTCGGAATTAAAGAACTAAGAACAAACACGCACCAAGCGCACTCAGGATAGGGCCCCACCAGCAGCGGTTGTACGTCAGTCCTGATTTCGCTAATAGGACGATACAACCCTGCAAAACTCCTATCGGCACGCTATCATCTTACGAAGTCCCGGCAACCCACGCGCGCAGCCAGCGCCACGAACTAAGATAACGCGCTCTTCTGATTAGTTGCCATGCAAGTTTAATGCACGATTTCCATGGGCATGAATTATTAATAGCCCAGACTTAACACAAGTCTACACAGTTACCCTATTTGCCACAATATTTCTGCATATGAAGTGGCAAATCTCCATCAATAAGTTATTGCCAAACCTTGGACTAAAGAGCTCATGTCTTAATTAACAAATAGAAGGGAATGTGATTGCCTATATGATATTTGTGGACACCATGACCCCAATCTCTAAGAAATCAACACATTCGCTGTAGAAACGCATGTGAATGTTCAATTTCTCCAAACCGAGGCATTCGCTGTCGAAACCCATGGGGATGTCCAATTTCTCCAAACCGAGATATTTGCTGCAGAAACCAAAAGCAATGTTCAATCTCTCTATAACCGGGACATGCGCTGCAGAAACCCATCCATGTTCAATTTCTCCAAATCGAGACACTCGCTGCAGAAATCAAAGGGAATGTTTAATTTCTCTAACCGAGACATTAGCTGTAGAAACCAAAGGGAATGTTCAATCTCTCCTAATCGAGACATTCGCTGTAGAAACCTACGAGAATGCTCATTCTCCAATATCCCATATCCAACTAAACTTACTGTAATACCCACTAGACATGTGTAATGAAAGGAATAGCCCTTGGCCAATTTGGAAGCATTTCCTATCTTTTCCAAACATTTTCCTATCCTCTCCGTCTTTGTTCACGGGCTTTCTTTGATGTCCCAAAGATCCCGAGCGTTGAGCCTGGCTTCAGCAATCGTGCAAATCTGACCCCAAACGAGTTATAAATATTCGGGAAAAACACTGTGGCTCGAAATGTAGACTAAACAGTTTGGAGCTCGCTGTCGGTCCTGACCATTTGGCCCTGGTCACTCTGACTTCCGATCGCCAATTTAGCCTAAATTTCGCTTTTAGTTGGAAAGTAAGGCAGGCTTGTCCCATCTTTATAGGTGTTGCTGCAGGCTGCGCCAGCAGATCTGGTCGGCGTGATCTCTTAATTCACCAAAAAGCTAGAAGGCATGTTCTAAACTGGACCCATGGCAAGCATTGACTCGCTCGCGGCACACAACTATGTCTTCTCAAATGAGCGTCACAGATATGCAAATTGTCTATGTTAATGTGATAACTCTCAGTGGACCGTTTGTTAGAAAACTTTACATTTTTCCCTCCCATTTATTCATCAAAAGCAGCAACTTTTACATACCGGATATCGTTTAAAACTGAAATTTTTCGATTTTAAATAATAAGAACCACTTTTCATGGGCCCTTTGAAACGTATCCTCTCAAGGAGATGTTATGTCCCGACGACGGCTTATAGAATCCGGGCATAATTAAAGAAAAGCACGAGACTAAATGCCGTAGAATCACTTTTGTCACAGTCTTAGTTTGACGCGTCACGATATCCTGCTTTTGTGATGAAACTGATTATTTTCTGCATCTTTCCTGCGTTTGTTCACCTATTTCATGCAAAGTGGCGGATTCAATAGCACGGAGTATTCAAAATTTATTTTGGACCAGACACGTGAGCGCAAAATGGGAAGAAAATATTTGTACTTGGCAGAAGATCTTGGTTTCTGAAAGCCTGCCGTCAAAAATCAAGGACGCAGCAAATTTAGAAATGCAGCAGTTTTTCATCAGCGTTACATGTATACAACCACGACACTCGCATGATTGTATACTCCTCACTGCTGGGTTCAATTCGCTCAGGGTTCGAACAACTGACGCTAATATTCTGTTATAATTAGCAAGTCAAATCGGCATGAGGAAGCCGCTCCAGACATTTCACCAAATGACCGTTCGTCG